GAAGATGAATTTTCTGAAAATGAAGATATATCGGTTGCAAATAAAAATGAGTTTGATTCTACAGATACTGACGATGAAGAGGAAAATATTGTGAATGTATGTAGTGGCCGAAAAAGAATAAGATTACTCACAAGTTCGGAAGAAAGTGAAGTAGAAATAAATGAAGAAAATGTTGCGAATGATGGATCTGTTTGGCAACAAATGCAAGTAGGTGGCACACCTGGAAGAGCAACTATGAATTAAAAGTTTTTATTTTTTGCTTTTGTAATAGAAATGCTCAACATACTATTTTGTTTAATTATAATAAATTTAATTTATATTTTTATTTCCTTCCTAACATCCATATTTCATACATTCAAGCATGAAACATAAAGTCGGGTCATTTGACACGCTATGGTAGAAATAGGTATATATTAAGTCTTGGTATGATTAGTGTTAAGCACAAACATTGTAAAAGCCCTTATTCCATTCTGGAAAATGCGCATGCATACATACCTCTAAAATTATAGGCATGATGGAAAATGTTCCCATATAAAAATACAAAATATTGCAGGGAAACTCAATATTTCTTCCATAACCATCACAAGATATTCAGAAGAAGCATTTTATTGAAGAACCAAATGGGTTCCTTGTCAATAATGTGAATCAGGCATCTCCAAACTATGGCTTAAGAAGCACCTTCATCCAATCTAGCCCACTTAAGTTTTCCTTTGATTGCATAAGATAAAAAAAAAATTGTTTATAAAATCACTCTAACACAAGGTTACAAAATACAAATTGCATGAGTTTTTTCTCTCAAAAAGGTCATTTTGAAACTGCAGTCATTTATAGAAATATATCTACTTTTTTGTAATGAAGCTGGTAAACATCATAATTTGTTGATTGCAGTTTTAGACTAAATCACTTAACCAAATTATTAAGTTATGCTACTAATTTTACACAAAAATTAATGTGCTTTAAGTGTAACTTTTCTGAACTGTTCAGGAGTTATTGATAAAACATAAAAAAAAAGTTAGCCGATGTAGATCTTTAAATATAAGTCATGGTATAATATGAAATTTGTTGAATTTAAAAAAAAGATTGCTGGAAGAACAAAAAAATATGTAGTACTTTCAATTTTTAAAAATCAATGATAAAATTTCATAAACTACTACGACAGGAAATAAATAAAAAGCATCAATCTTTTTAAACCGATGGTTTGATTGATGGCCGATCTTTTAGGGTGCTCGCAACTTGTTAGAAATGAAAAAAAAGTCAACAATAAAGCAACTGTATTAGAGAGATGCTGAATGCAATAGAATTTAAGTATTACATAATATATTTAAAAGAGCTTAAGAAATAAATTTATTGTTTTAGGGGTGGGGGAGATGACGTCATTGCACATGGGCACCAAATGTCTAAGGCCGGCAATGTGTATGGTAACATTGTGAGTTGATTTTCAATCTTTATATGTCAGTATTTTTTACCATCACAAGCCATGGTCTTACATCACAAAATGTTAAGTCTGATCTCAATGAATTTTTAAAAAAAGGTAATATTTTATCTATTTAGGTGACCGTAAAAGAGGTTAATTGAAAAGTCCTAATTAGTTTGGCCATTAAGACACAATATATACATATAGGGTGACTCATAAGTAGAGAAAAATATTAAGATAAGTGACAGTACACTTCAAGAGCTACAAAAAAGTTCATATTAACAATGGTCCGATTTTTAACATAATATTATGCAATTCAAATTTTGTGTTTTTTTTACGTATGTAATGTTTTTTGTTGAATAGGAAGCAAAAACCAAAAAAAAAATTAAATTAAGTAATTAACAATGGCTTCACAGTAAACAAGATAGAATTTAATTTTAATGAAAGTAAAGATTGTCATTGATAAAACCATTTAAATAGAACTTTTAAGCGGCTTATCTAAGCTAAGTTCTGCTTTCAAAAAAATCATGAATTATTAGCGACATATTTTATTACCTATCGACTACATTATAGATAACCCACTTTTGGAAAAATTTCTTTGTTTAATAAGCTTAAAAGCCATTTTAATTAAGTTTAGGGTTTATTACGAAATGAATTGAGATTCATCTCCAGTTGTATAAAAAAATTACATGATTTGATACCCTGCCACTGTACCTGTGAACCCGTGTTTTCAGGAAAAATGGCTACAATAAATTATTGCAAGGCTTTGATTCCTTATTTTTCCATGACCTGGGATGTATTATGGTAAACATAGTTGCAGAAATAAGCATTTTATTTTTAAATAATTCATATTTAATATTTAATAGTTGACCGTTGCATTATAAAGGAAGGAGATGGTCCGGGATTGCGGTCATAAATAGGCTAAATAGTGGTAAAACTATTTTATTGAAAGCTGACGTTTCGACCCGACTTTGCAGGTCTTCATCAGGGAGGTGTGTTCATCTCGGAGTTTCACTTAGAACTGAGTGAAATGAGTTCTAAGTGAAACTCGTAGATGAACACACCTCCCTGATGAAGACCTGAAAAGTCGGGTCGAAACGTCGGCTTTCAATAAAATAGTTTTACAGTTCTAAGTGAAACTCGTAGATGAACACACCTCCCTGATGAAGACCTGAAAAGTCGGGTCGAAACGTCGGCTTTCAATAAAATAGTTTTACAGTTCTAAGTGAAACTCGTAGATGAACACACCTCCCTGATGAAGACCTGCAAAGTCGGGTCGAAACGTCAGCTTTCAATAAAATAGTTTTACAGTTCTAAGTGAAACTCCTAGATGAACACACCTCCCTGATGACCTGCAAAGTCGGCTTTCAATAAAATAGTTTTACCACTATTTAGCCTATTTATGACCGCAACTCCGGACCATCTCCTTCCTTTAAATAATTCATGTTAAAAAAAAATGATTTTTCAAATATTTATACCTAAAGTAACAATGAAGCTGTATTTTTTACCCAGACACTTATTATAGGAATTGGTCTGTATTTATAAGTGATCAATTAAATGTTCTACACCTAATATAATAGTTTTCATAAAAATAATTCAAATAATTAGCAAATTTATTTATTTTTTTCTTAGAAATGTTAAAATATAATGATGAACTATAACCTTAAATTAGTATTGAAGTCCAATTGGCAATGAAAGCTGTATTTGGATGTTATATTGAAAAAATTGGAAATTCTGAGCAATTAACATTTACAAGGAATGGTAAATTTTAATTTAGAAATACTCATAATTGAGCCAATGAAATCCTCTTTTCACAAGACTTAAATTAAATCAATACCAATTAAAAGTATTAATTGATTATTGTAAGTAAATGTTTCTAAAAAAATTAAATAATATACCTTCTAATTATTTGCATGAAAACGTAAATTAATATTTATTATAATTAATATTCCTAATGTATTAGTAACATTTATATGGTCACTTATAAATACCGATCAATTCCTATAATAGAGATTTTGGTAAAAAACATAGTTTTCATATTCACTTAAAATGATAAACATTTGAAAAATAGTTATTTTTATAATATATATTTTTAATATATAAAAAGCGTATTTCTGCAATTAGGTTTAATACAATATATCGCAGGTCATGGAAAAAAAATAATAAAGAAATAAAGTCTTGCAATAATTTATTATAGTCATTTTTGCTGAAAAGGGGTACTTTTAGGTGACAGGGTTACACATAATGTTTTTACACAACTTGAAGTGAATCTCAAATTATTTCGCAACAAACAACATTATAATGATGTAGAGATGGTTGACCGTTGATATGATATGAGAAGGAGTTAGTCGAGGGTGCGGTCAAATAAATAAAAAAATTAAAATATATAAATAATTTTAATTTTTGCCGACGTTTCGACCCACTTTGCAGGTCGTCTTCAGGGCGTAGGACTGCTTCCTGCAGTGCCACATCCTACGCCCTGAAGACGACCTGCAAAGTGGGTCGAAACGTCGGCAAAAATTAAAATTATTTATATATTTTAATTTTTTTTTTTATTTATTTGACCGCACCCTCGACTAACTCCTTCTCAAACAACATTATAAATAATTTGGACTGGAAGCATATTAAGCAAGGAAGATTTTCTAAAAGTGGGGTATCTATAGTAAGTGCGACAAAAAAAAAAAAAAAAAAAAAAAAAAAATAGAAATAATTCATGATCTTTTTAAAAACAGATCTTTCTTTAGCTGTTCAAAAGTAATTGTTAATTACTTAAAGTAAAATTTTTTTTAGTTATCGCTTCATATTAAACAAAAACACTTAAAACTTTTTTTATTTTATTAACGAAATTTACAACTGTAATTAATAATAAATACAACAAGTAAATATGAACAAGTAATGTGACATGTACAACATGAAGAGAAACTACGCATTGGTAGCACTCCAATTATATTTCTATATTACAAGGTCCCGAGGCCATCTTTTTTTCAGACGCCTCGGAGGGTTATCAGGAATAGAAGAGGAAGTAAGGTTGGAAATGAGAGGGTTCGGATGGTTCAGAAGTTTATTATGAAAGGACAGGTATCTGGATTGAGCTAAATCACTTAAAACTTAAATTTCCTACTATTCTGTTAAAAATCAGACCATTATTTAAATTAACTCTTTTGTAGCTCTTGAGATCTGCTATTAAAAATATTTCCCTCTACTTACGAAACACTCTGTATATGTGTGTATATTTTATGTTATGATACTAATATTTATAATTAGCTTACAGTAAATGAATAGTACATTTTTAAAAAAAAGAAAATATATTTGATTAGTGAAAATAAAATAAAATCAAAAAGTTATTCTGTAATCTAATCATAAAAGTAAATAAATCTAATTAAATACAAGGCATATTTTAAAATATCAATCTGTTTGTAAAATAAAAACTGATGACAAAATAAGTAAAAACAGTTGCAGTAAATAAATATGCATAATATATATCATATACATAAACTACATGAATTAAAATAAAATATTTAAATATAAAAACAGTAAATATAAATAAATCCTATTAAAACAGTTGAATCACTATATCTAAATGTTAAAAAATTCGAGATAATACTTTTATAAGAATAGATTATCACAATACAACTGGAAGGAATAGTTACCATAGTACAACATAAAATATTTTTATATAAATAACAACTTTGTTCCATGAAATATTAACATAATTATGGGTCAATAAACATATATTTACACTTATAAAAATTTCAATCTTAAAAATTCAACCTTAAATACAAACATATTAACAGTAATCATTGGTATGAATATATAAATATATATCTAAAATATATATGTATCTTGGTAGAATACACATCCACAGTTTCATTCCTTGAAAAAGTTCCCTATTTTTGACTTAGCTTGTATTTGGAATTATGAAAATTTAAATTCATGTTAATAGCTATGATCTACATATGTTATATATGTATCTGTTATAATATACATATAAACATAATTATGAAAATTAAAAACTATGTTATTGACTATGTATTATAATGTACATTTAAAAAAAATGGTAGTATTTTTTTTTTATTATTTGAATAAGTATAGTGCAATGTAATATCTCGTAAATATTATCTTGTAAAATGTCTCTGGCCCAGATATGTGTTTTGATTTACATTAATATCCCAAGTAATAAAAAGGAAATCCTAATGCATTCAACTTTTTATGCTCTTTTTAAAAAATTTCCGTCTGTTTATACATCCTATAACTGGAAAAGTCCCACCAAATATGTATTTGTTGTTTATAAGTTTAGCAACACATATAAGGTTTATAAGTTTATAAAACACGTAAGTTTTTTATTTGTTTGCTTTGTTTTAATACCTTATTTTTTAAAACTGATTAGTAAGGAAGAGAAAAATTAAATCACATATACATTACACTCAGAAATGGCATAGGTTAAACAAAAACAAACAAAATTTAACAATAAAATATTACCATTGTCAAACCATTTTTATATAATAATATCACACTTATTTAAAATCATATTTCGCAGTTAATATAAGGATTCTGCAATATTCTAGGAGATGTTTCCATAACACGTAGCAGCAATTCATCTAAATAATCCTCAAGATCTCTCTGCTTTTTTTGTTCCTTAGTAAGACGATTTTGAAGGTCTAATATTAGTTGAATGAGGTCCTGCAACACAGATTTTATGAATGATAAACATAAAGTTTTAAAAAATGCCACAATTTTTGTTTCTGTAACTACTACAAAACTAAACTTCTTAATGTGTTGTCGGGGAGCTTTTTATGAAAATACTGTGGAATTTGAGATTGTGCAATTGCGTGTCACACTCATCATTTGCTGGTATTTTTATAAAAAGTGCCCTCAACAACATTATATTCAACCCTAATATTGATAAAATCTGAAAAGTTACGAAAACATGAATCATTGCGCAATCTTAAATCCAACAGTATTTTTATAAAAAGCGTCCACGATAACATTATAGTTGACACTAATATCAATTGAATTTGGAATTGAAGTCACAAAAACAGGACACATGGCTACGCAATCTCAAATTTGACAGTATTTTCATAAAAAGCGCCCCTTTTTAGACAACATTGTAGTCGACCTTAATATCTGTTACATTTATTATATTATTATAAAAGTAACAAAAACGTACGCCCAATTGTGCAATCATGAATTTATAAGTATTTTCATAAAAAGTGACCCCAGACAACATTATAGTCGAACCTAATATCAATTAAATCCGAAAAGTTACAAAAACTTGATGCCCGGCTCTCCAATCTCAAATCCGACAGTATTTTCATTAAAAGTGCCCTCAAAAATATAAAAATGGATGGTAATATGTAATAAATCTGAAATATTTTAATAAGTCGATAATTTATTGATTTCCATTAATATCGATAGAATCCTTAAAAATCATGACTCCAGAACATAAGAATGGTCATAAATATTGAAGAAATATAAGATATTCTACTTCTCTAATTTGCAGAATGAAGTTATCAATTACTTTGAAAAGTAGTCAAAGTAATATAATTCTAAATAGATAGAAAATGGAAAGTACTCACGAGGACAGCTTAGTAGTTTTTGTACTAGTCAATCATCAGATCGAGTAGTAATTAACGTACTTGGTACTTTAAAATACTTTGTAATTGAGTAAAATACTTTGTAATTTGCAATTTTTGCCAATATCTACTTGACATGTAATAAAAATATAAAAAAGGTACACTAAAAATTATTTATTTATTTATATCTTATTATTATTTTAAAAGTAATTCAAAAATAATAATGAGTAACCTGACCTCTCTAGTCTTTTCAGAATACTGATTAAGTATTTCAGGAGGAAGTGTTGAACTGGGAGACGATGGACGAGTCACTTCTTTTCCTATGATGATTCTTTCAATAGGTTTTGAGAAAACCATTTCTCTCAAATCAGTACTGCTTTCCACTAAATATAAACAAAAGTATATAATTTAAGCTGCTAAAATTTACAAACCAAATCATTTACTTCAGATGATCAAACATCCACATTTAAAAATGAGAGAGTATAGAGCTGTATCTTAAGCTGTAACTCATTTTAGTGCCTATCTGATTTAATTTATATATCATAATTATATTACAGGTAATAAACAGATAACTGAGCTACTTTATGTGTGCTGTTCTGATCTTTGCCTCCTACCCATATTTCCTAAGTAAGCCTGAACTAATGAGATACAGCTTAAGATGTAAGTAGATTTGGTTTTTGACAGTACTAGAAAGTGAGAAAGCAGTGTTTCACATTTTTTTGTTCATATAATTTAAATTTTTACTAACCAATGAATTATAACTTTTCTTTCAAAAGGCTAGATTATGTAACTGCTTTTAGTTGTAATTCCACCCTATTATTTTCTAGTGATGTATAATCAAGCTAAATAAAGAAATTAAATATCGGAAAGTGCAGCTTCGTGCAGCACTGAGTTGATAATAATGTTTTGTTTTTTTCTTTAAATCTCCAAGATTAGTCACAAAATATTTATCAACATATATATAAATTAGAAGATTATGATATCATATTTTAATGTATGTATGTATAGCATTTCCAAGTCAATTTCAACCTTTTCCAAATCAAATTCAACTGTTTCCATTTAAAATTAATGTTTCGAATTTTTGTAAGTTTGAGATTTTTTTTAAAACAAGGGACATCCCTCCCCCCAATATGAAGTCTATTATTATGCTCCCCCAAGTAGAGTTTTTCAAAATACTATCGATTTTATGTTACACTAACGGATATCAATTTATCATACCTATTCGGATTTATTAGTTTTTGAAAAACAACAACTCCATTTTAAGATTAAGCCACTGCGTTTTGACTTATTTTAGTTTTTTGGATTTATTCGATATAAGGGTGTATTTCTATGTTTCCGGAGCCATAAATTTTGAAAATGACCTCCATTTTAATATTACGCCACTGTATTTTCACTTATTAAAGTTTATCGAATTTAACCAATATAAAGGTCTACTTTTATATTTCTGGAGCAGGTAAATTTTGAAAATTACCTCCATTTTAAGATTATGTCACTGTGTTTCGACTTACTTATTTGTTTCCAATTTATACGATGTAAGTATTGACTTATATGTTATCGGAGACGTAGTTTTTGAAAATGACCTCCATTTTAAGATTATGCCACTGTGTTTAGGATTATAAAAGGTTTTTTGACTTATTAGGTATAAGGACCTACTTATATGTTATCGGAGATGTTGTATTTGAACTTTTTCTAATCTCTAATATTTAATCTCCATTTTATGATTACACCGCTGCATCTCGATTAATTAAACTTTATTTTGGATTTTTTCAATCATCAAAATCAATGGCTACGGAAACATAAGAATACACCCTTATATCGAATAAATCCGAAAAACTTAAATAAGTCGAAACGCAGAAGTGTAATCTTGAAATGGAGGGAATTTTCAAAATCTACAGCTCCGAAGACATAAGAATACACCCTTATATCGAATAAATTCGAAAAACTTAAATAAGTCAAAATGTAGAGTAGTGTAATCTAAAAATGGATGTTATTTTCAAAAACTACTCATACGGTAACTGACCCATACATCGAAAAATTAAAAATAATTAAATAAATAAAAAAAGGTTGAATTGGAAATGGAAAAGGTTGAATTTGACTTGGAAATACTATGTTTATGAATATTTTTGCAAATAATATAGGAGTTTTCGGAAAAAAGCAAAATGTGAGTTTCAACTAAGTAGGCACATGGGTTTACCTTCAGGTTGCGAATTGATCATGGTCAAACTATAATAACTGTTGAGGAATCAACAAAAGCCCTAACTCATAATTAAATTAGTTGCCATTTTTTTCAACTGATTTAACTATGACCAGGTATTTAACTAAAAATTAATCAAGGTAAAAAATGACCAGGAGAACCAAGGTAACTAATGTCTAACTCTGCCCTCAGATGACAGATTGCAACTGCTGGATAAGGAGTGCTGCCTTTAATGAGTTAAAAAATAATTAGGTAATTGGGTTGCTTCAAGGGAAACCAGTTTTGTTATTTGATAAAATTCATTATATATCTTGTAGATGGATCAGGGTTATAGATTCCATGTGGAAGAATGGACTGAACTCCGATAAAAAGAAATTTTTGATTTCCATATTTTTGAAAACAACAAAAAACAAATGATAATATAAAATAATTTCCTAACCTTTTAAGGGTTTTGCAGAATAATGAGATTCAAAATCTGGTTTCTTTTCTTGAGTAAATGAAGCAGTCCTAGGAGGTTTCGCTGGAGGAAAGTGTGTACTTTCTGAAGTAATTTTTGTCACATCTGTATTCGTTCTAGGAAGAGTATTAAAATTAAGAGACGACTCAGATCCTCTTTGTGATAATTCATCCAACTAAAATAAATATGACATTATTACATTGGATTTTAAACAATATGATTCATATGATTCATTAAATAATATGATTCATACGTACATAAATATGATACATATGTACGTAATTATGATAATACTAATACATTAGATTTTAATGTATGTACAGTATGAATTAATGTTTTTAAGATAAAAAATCTTCAAACACCCTAATATTACTGTATTCTTAAGAAACGTGAGTATTGATTCTTTGGATATCAGATAAAAAAAATTGACACAAAGTACTGGGTTTATAATTATGTACATGTAATAATGCATAAAACCACATTATATATATATATATATATATATATATATATATATATATACACACACACACACACACACGTAAAGATATTTAATAATTTGATCAAATTGCAAACTGTATTATATGGTTATTTTTATATAACATCATGTGTTAAATGTATAAATTAACTGATTAACTTAGAGGTGGGGATTCGTTAGAACCTGAACTTCTTTACATATGTGAGTGTGTGTGTGCGTGTATTTGTTAGGAGTAGGCTCAGATGCCAAGTCTGGGCCATCATCAACTGTCAAACCATTTTCAACATTCCATGAATCACCTTATATCTGTAGATCAACTCTTATCCGGTTTTTAGCTAAGAAGTAATGAAATCCGGCATGACCCTCATTATCTACCTTTAAAATCCTTCTATTCCACTTCCTTTCCACAAAAATAAATATATATATATTTATTATTATGTTATTATATTGTGTACAATTTTATTAAATACAAGAAAATATTAAAAATAGTAAATTATAAGGCAGACATTTAAAGCATAGAAATGAAAAATTTGTTTAGCTGCTTGAGATAAGAGAAAATTGATAAGTGAGGCAAGGGATAAGTATTTCTTTCTCAGGGTACCATATGCCTATATAATGTCTCAGTCTCTAAAACTTAACCTTCCATCTGTCATCAAAAGATTAATTGTTCTTTGCTAGACCAATTCCAGGTTATTCCTAGCCAAGAAATAGCAGCTCTTAACAATGCAATAATTTTGTGAGTACATGCTTATAACATAACGTCATCCATGTTCCCATCAGTGCCACAAGATTAAATCAGAGGTATGGTGAGGGGGAGGGGGTACATCTCTGTACATCTAAATAATTTAGAGGATCTTACAAAAAAAAAAGATAAATAAATAAAATAAAGCCTGATAAGCCAATAGGATTAATCATTTCACAGTAATATTTATCTATTAGGAGAACTAGAAGCATCGGGTGTGTTAATAAGTTTCTGCTGTTTGATATCTAGAGAATTTTCGTTTACTTATGTGGTAAACACTGAACTTAACTTGCAACACTCATCTAAACAATCTGGTAACACTGAAACCAACTTTATTCAAGAGTTAATCCTCTGTACTCGAGTTATCAATCTATTTTAAATACTCAAAGAGTATAAAACGTTTTTTATATCCCTTCAAACATAGCGAATTTCGTATCCTCAAAACCATTTTTGTGGGGAATATAATTACAATATTCTTTCCAACAGAAAAATAAATCAAGATCACATAGATGCAGAAAAAATACTGCACATCTCATATCAAAAGTCTAAAAAAAGACACATCACAGTAGATACACCAAAACAACTAATTAGATATTTAAATCAAGAGAAGATAATATAACAGCTGTTAAAGATTATATTCAAACAACTAATCAACAGAAAACGAGAAAAAAAAGTGCTAAACAAAAAATACAACAAAAGGCAATTCAAAAAATAAATAAAAATATGAATGAGAAGAGGAAGGTTATAAGCAGCTAGTTAATTAATTAGGCCACTTTTTGTTCTTTTATGCTACAGAAATGTTAAACATACCAAAAAGGTGATAAAATTTACAAGTGTCATATTTATTAAATATACTAACACACTGTAATGCCAAATGGAGTTGGCTTTAAGTTATGTTAGTACTTTCAGTTTAATTTGATCCTTTCTCTTTTAAATAAATAAAGAAAAAAACAAATAGGATCAGTCATCTATCAATAAATGAAAGTCCTTTTAAATGATTGATTCCCTTATTTTTTCAATGACTCTTAGGCAGGCAGTAAGATATAATCCAATCACACTAGGTACATCTTTATAAAATTAGTATTCATTGAAGTTAGTTAATACATTGGTTCTTAATAAAGCAATTACTTAAACACGATAAAAAAGAGTATTATTAAATTGAATGTCTAAGTTATTGATCATAGAAATTATAATATAACCATGAACTTACAGCAAAATCATCATCACTTTCAGCTTCACTGATTACACCAGGATCTGCTTCACCTAGTACCTGTTGAGAAGTAGGGGTAGCGATATTTGAAGAATTATCTTCATCTTTATGAGATGATTTTGAGAATTTTCCACCTGAGACAAATTAAGTAGGTTTTGGAAACTATTTTTTAAAAGTCAATTGTAAGTTAGTATACGTATTTTCAGTTTTTATAATTTGTGATACAGCTGAAGTCATGTTTTTAAAATGTTTGACATTATCGAACATAACAATCAATATTTTTCTGGAGATGGTTAATTAGTCGACTGATCAATTATTAGGATGAAACAAAATTGTCAGGATTTATAGTCAAGAATTTTGATTTGGTTAGCCGAAGTTTTGGCCCAAACATGTAGGTCGTTCTCAGGGCTATCTTTCGGGAGTTGGGACAAGAACTCAAAAAGAAGTTCTTGCCCCGACTCCAGAAGATAGCCCTGAGGATGACTCACATGTTTGGGTTATCGAACCTATAAAAATGTCGGCTAACCAAATAAAAATTCTTGACTGTAAATCCTAACAATTTTGTTTCATCATAAATATTTTCCAATCATCTTATATAATCAAACTGAAATATTATACAGGAATAAGATACACACATGATCTATGTGAAATAAGATACACACACATACAACTAGTATATAATATAATAAACAGAGCTTGGATTTTTATGCAATTGCATATTTTGTTTGTATAATTTTTTTTAATCGCTGATCAAATATCTATATGAATTAGTATACTGTGATGCTATTAGCCAAATTTTATTTTGCATATTCCAGTAGAAATGCATATTTTGATTAATTCAATGAAATAAATAATATATATATATATATATATATATATATATGTAAATGAATATTTATTTGTATGTCTATTCACAGCTAAGAGACAGGGAGCAGTGGCTTTTGGGTATTGGGGATATGACTCTTTAAGTTGTATAAAACCCAAATAAAAAAAAATGTCTATTCACACATAATTGTATGCCTCACAGGTCAGTATAATTAAAATCAAAATTAACTTTTGATTGGCCCTCTTCAGCAATATTTTATTCTCCAAAACAATTTTTGGGTAGGCCAATAAGCTTGGTACAATGTCAATCATATTGATTTAGCCAACAATATTTTTTGTTGAGTAAAAATAAACGTACAATAAATAATTAGCAAAAGTTTATTTTGGTTTTTATTGTACTGACCTGTGAGGCATACACTTAACTGTGAATAGACATTAAAATATAAAGGTCAGAATTTAAAAACTAAAGAGAATATTTATTTATTTATATATAAAAATTAAAATACAACATTGTAGATGCAAATAAAGACAATGATAAATTTATTTTCAATGAACAACAAAACCTAACACATTTGTATACTTTATACTTCCACTAAACCCTTTAACGATCCTCTTTATAGACATTCACCGATTCCTGGAAATCCATTTTCCCCTTCTTTTCCCATGTAAACATCATACTAAGTTCCTATTTTAGTTTATTGCCTACGTTCTTTGCCAAAGATCATATTTCTATTTATTCAAAATAACAAAAGTATGTTCATATCATTTTCATCAAAGTTGAAATCTTGATTTGAAACATTCTTCACATCTTATAAAAAAACCAGTGGTACCAGACCAAGTGGGTGGTTATACACGATGGGCCAGGAAATGGAAAGTGTTTTGGAAAGAGAAATATATTCTCCAGATGTTTTATTTCAGCAAATTTTGCGTTGTTGTAGGCCATTTAAAAACAAACGATGCTTGATTTTCAATTTGAAATTTTTTTTGTTAAAAGCATTGACTTTACTGGTGTAGTTCATAGCCAAAGCCAATTATTTTTAAATATGTTTTCATGTTTTATTATTCTCTGACTATCCAGCTTTAATAAAAGACCAATTATGGCGAAATTAAGCCAAATGCTGATTCTCAGTGACCAAAAAACTAACTGAAGTCAAAGTCATCAGTCCACCATGTTTAGACGCTATTTTGGGGCACTTCGTTCACTTTTTTTGAGTGAACATTGGCTTCTTTTTAATAAACAGTTACAAGGAACACAATGATATGCAATTTATAGGAATGTGGGGGAGGGTGTGGTACACAGTAGGGGGCTATGGCCCACAGACCATTAGGGAGAACAGTTGAATGTTCTCAGCGACATTGACTTCAACCCAGTAATTTTGAGAGGATATGAATTTGCCCCTATAACGACTGTTGATGTAGAAATATCATTTTCTAATTATAAAAATATTTTAAACAACAAAAGGTTAGGTTTCACAGAAGAACTTTTAGAAATCCATATCATGATTAATGTTAATGCAGACGGTGTCTGCAAAGTAGACTAATTGTAATGTTTTATCTATTTTACGTTATTTAATCCACAAGTTGTTAATTATGTTATTGTTTCAATAAAAATTTGTTATATTTTTATCGATTCACATACAACATTTTGATGCGTTTACAAATATGTTTTTCCATATTTGTTACATACAAATACAATTATTGTTTTTTTCATTTGTATTATTTTAATATTTCATGTTTTTTTTTGTTTTTTTTAATGCAGAAATTAGTCACCTTCAGATCCCAATTCTTCAACTCCTATCATACTTCCCTCTCTGCTCATGACAATTCCCTATGGAAGATCATTAAAAAAATCCTAAAACACCATCATATTTCACATCCACTCCATCGAGGTGATGGCTCTTGGGCAGCATCTGACAAAGGTAAAGCCGAGGAATTTGCTAAACACCTTTCCCTTACATTCGCCTCTCATCCGGAATCCAACCCCACCCACATGTCAGCAGTGGAGGAAATCCATCCCACTCTCCTTACCGCCTAAAGCAGTTAATCCTTTTGAGGTCAAATATCACATACAAAAACTACCTACCTGTAAATCACCTGGTTACGACCTCCTTACCTCTCAGACCTTTAGACAACTCCCTCCTAAAGTTGTCATATTCCTTACATACATATACAATAGCATCCTACGAACCATCCACTTTCCTCTTTTATGGAAACATTCTACTATTATTCTATTTCCAAAACCATGCAAATCTCCCAACAGCTTAACTTCCTACAAACCCATTAGCCTACTTCCAATCCTTTCAAAAATCCTTGAAAAGATCCTCCTGAAACGAATCCTACCCTTTATAGAATCTCAAAATCTTCCTTCACATCAGTTCGGATCAGTATTCTGTTCCCAACATTCCACAGCCCAACAAGGACTTTGAGTGGTCGATCATATTTCCGCAGCCCTGAAAGCAAGCAATATTGTTCGGGTGCATTTCTTGACATAGCTCAAGCTTTTGACCGGGTATGGCATGCCGGACTTCTTTTCTAACTTAAAACCCATCTGCCTCAGTCTTTATACCTTGTCCTCCGCTTCTACCTCTGTGATCATACCTTCCAAGTTAGCTGTGGCACTGATTTTCCAATTGCTATCTAATTGAGGCTGGTGTTCCTCAAGGTAGCGCAATGGGATCCGTCCTTTACATCCTCTTTACCGCCGATATCCCTGTCCATCCCGATACCTTCCTGGCAACATTTGCTGATGACACCGCCATTCTATCATCCGACTAAGATCCTGATATAGCATCCTTAAACCTTCAAAGCCACCTCTCCCTAATTGAGCACTTGTGTAATAAATGGTGTATTAAAGTAAATGAATTCAAATGCCAACACATTACCTACACGCTCCGACGAAGTTCATGTCCACCAGTACATTTTAATTCCATCCAGCTTCCTTTCTCAGACACAGTCCGGTATCTTGGCTTTCTCTTAGACAGACGACTAATGTGGAACACTCATGCTAGACTTAGAAGACAGGAACTTAACCGAAGATACGGCAAACTATACAGACTACTAAATAGAAAATCTAACCTTTCTATTGAAAATAAAATACTTATCTACAAGACAATACTGAAACCTATTTGGATTTACGGACTTGAACTGTGGAGAACAGCAAAATTTTCTAATATCAAACGCATCCAATCCTTCCAGTCAAGTCTTTCGAACAATAGTCGATGCTCTCTTTCTATGAAACCAATAAAAACCTACACCATGACCCTAATATCTCACTTTGTCCTAGATCTTTATCCCAGCAAAATTCGCCAATTTCACCAGAACCTTCTATCATCCGAATCCTCTTGCACAATCCATATCCAGCATCATCCATCCCTATAATCCTCCAAGAAGGTTGAATACCAGTGACCCGCGACTTTTTATAGTTTGTAAATATTAGAGTCTGCAATGGCCAGATTCTCCACTCACGACATGAGTTTATGTGACTAAGCACTCGCTCAATCTCCACTGGGTTTAGCCCCATGATGCGGTTGAGAGAGAAGTGCAGGGATCTCCTGGAGTCATGCTTTTCCCTCCACAGTTTGAGGGACAAGTCTGGCTCGGAGGTCACTGGCCTGATTGTAAATAGTGTATATAGGTATGTATGTGTTCTTTTTTATTTATTTTAGATTATTTTATTCTTATTTATTGTATATATATATATATATATATATATTATTTTTCTGTATAATTTATTTTTATTTATTGTACACAGTGTGAATGTGATCTCTGAAAACTATTATAAATGTCCTTTGAGACAGATTGTATTTTTTTAAATGTTTCGACCATTATAATATATACATATTAATAAAATCATACAAATTAATAATAACCTTAGCTATATATGTTTAGTTATTTTCATTCTTTAGTTTAGATATTAAAAAAAAAAAAAAAAAAAAAAAAGAATTATTGTAATTTTTAATGACTATAATTTCACTTTTATTTTAAAACTTTTTTGGAGGTACATCTTTATATTTAAATATGTTACTAAGAGATCAGTAATAAAGTAATTAGTAAGTTCAGCACATTTAGTTATCAGTTACTACATTTTTCAGGGTTTTTTTTTTACTGCATATAATATGACATATTTTGTGGATTTTACTGCATAAAAATCCGGGCTTTGATAATAAATATTAGTGACATGATATCATTAAGTGACAACCAAAATTAGTTAAAAATTTATTGTTCAGGAAAAAGAGGAAAAACTATTTTATTTAAAATGTATTAATTCATATTTACTTTTTGATGAGTAATATTGAAGTAAATGTGCAGTCTAATGAATATCACACGAAAGAGACTTGTGACTAAATTAATCATAAGCACTCTAACGATAGTTTTATGTTGGAAGATCCTAATGTCATTATCTTTTGAGACATCTCAGAGGATTATTCAGAATTTATTAGGTTAAACTAGTGGGGTTTTAGCAGTACAGAGCTTACAACAGAATGATGGGTATCTATTTTGCGACTAATCTGCATTAAATAAAACATTGAGGTCATTGTGGATAAGTTTAGTTAAAGGCCTACTCTTTATGTCAAAGATAGTTTTGATTATAATCATGCAGATGAAATTTTGAAAACTACTTGAAAGTTCAGAACGTTTGTCTAGTAATTGCAGAAGTCAGTAGATAGTGACGATGAGTAGTTTTTTGTAATTTCAGTCTTGAATGAGGATTCCAAGTAATTTGTTTTTTCAGATGTAATGTCTAGATAGTGGATCTGTTTAACAGGAATATTATTAAAGCATGGCATAGATATATGAAGAAGGATAAAGGTTATTTTATGCCATTATTTCAATTCTTTTGTTTTAACACCATTCTTCATGTTTTGTGAATTATGCTTAAAAAATGGGACACATAATAAAAGGGTATTTAATCTTAAATAATAATTTTTAAAAATAGATTGTTTCTTACTTATCTTAGAAGCCAGTTTTTTTAACCCTTTACGCTTATCAATACTGCTAATACTGATTAAACTACCACCTAAAAAAGAAAAGAATTTTTGAGTAAAAAAAAAATATATTTCAAGAAAAAAAAACTACTGCCATCAAAAGATGTGAGTTTTATGATTATAAATTTCTATGACCATAATGACAAAAAAATACAAATATGGAATACCAGTTAAAACAGAATATACTTAAAATGAATTAATTTGAATCTGAACAAAGATTAAAGAAATTTTAATAAAATGGTGAATGAAAATACCAAAGGAATGAGCAGCTTGTGAAAGTTGGCCCAATGATGATTTATGTTTCTCTTTTTTAGATAAATTAGATAAACTTCCAGATTTAACAATGAAAGATATTTTGACTTCTAATTCCCCTCTATCCTTTTTCTTTTCTTTTCCAGGCTTATCCAGTAATTTAAGCCATCTGAAAAATGACAAAAAATTATTTTTGGTGTAATATCACTTTATTTCAGCGAGTAAACGTTTTGTAGAAAAGAAAGTATTGTGAAAATTCTCTATAATAAATGCTTCTGTGGCAAACACTTTATTTTTTATGGAGAAGTACTTACTAAAGAGTTGTATAACTATCAATTTTAGTACAAAGATCGATTACTCCTACAAAAAAGTAGGGAGGGTAAAATAAAAAATAAAATTGTGAAAAACTTTGATGTGATATTGTTATGTTAAAGAAAGTTTAAAACTTTAAATGCAGTTTTCTAAAAACAACAGTTTTTGTGTTGTACCCCCTTTCATCCTGAATGAATGATACCTTTAAATATTTAAATTCAATAAAATATTATAAGTTTTAATAAGTAATATTTATATGTAACAATAAGCATTAATCTTCTAAGAATCCAATTTAAAAAAATTAAACAATTTGTGATTTTTTATAATTTTTTTTGTCTTGAGGGATTAAAAATAAAACATTTTATTTGAGCCATCTTATCCAGGACCAAATTCAAATATCCATTACAAGCTGTTCCCACAATATACCTAGTTCTGCCATAAATACTGTTACAAAAGTTGAACTTTGTTTACATCCTCGGGCATTATTTAGATAATCCTTATCTCTACCAGGTTATTTTCTTTACATGCCAGGATAATAATCCCAATTAGTTTGTATTTTTCTTTCGCTCAGTTAACATGGAGTGGGGTGATAATGAAAACCGAATAGCTGTGATCGCCTTACACTAAGTTGAAAAATGTAGATCAGAGATTTTCAAGACTTTGAAACCTTTGGTTATCAGCTGTATGTTCGTGTACCACACTATAAATAGACTGTGAGAACGGCAAAGGCTGCTCGAATCAGAAGAAATTCCATTCAAAAATCACAAATCATGTCTCGGGAAATGGGAATCTCTGTCACATCAATGTCTCGCATAATAAAAAGTGACCTTAAAATGGGTGCATTTCGAAGAATGACAGGACAAAGGCTTATCACTTCCCTAAAAAAAAATTAGAGTGGATAGATGCAAAGTGCTCCTTGGCCGTTACACCAATGGTTTTCATCGAAAGATTTTATTTAGCTATGAGAAAATTTTTACGATTGAACAAAAATTCAATTGCCAAAATGATCGTGTGTACGATCACAGCTCTAAAGAAGCCCAGAAAGTCATTGAAACAGTGGAAAGAGGTCATTGCCCTTCCTCAGTGATGGTTTCGTGGGGAGTTGGCTCTGATGGCACCACAAAGCTCCATTTTTGTGAAAAAGGAGTTAAAACAGCCGCTAAAAAACTTTCAGAACGATGTTTTGGAACCTGTTGTCAAGCCTCTAAATGATACTCCGTTTGCTGGAAGTCATTGGGTTTTCCAGCAGGATTCCGATCCAGCTCACAAGGCCAGGTCAATTCAACAGTAGCTGCAAAAGAACATTCCAGAGTTCATCTGTCTTGGATTGGCCCTCAGGAAGTCCTAATCTCAACCCACTAGATAATAGGCTTTGGTCCGAACTGGAGAGAATGGTATGCCACAGAGCACATCCTAACTTGGAAAGCATCAAACAATCTCTGGTCTGAGCGGTTGAGTGCTTTCCTCAAGAAGTGCTGCTATTGATGAGTGGCCACGGAGATTAAATGTCTGTGTTAATACAAAAGAGGGACATTTTAAGTAATTTCTTTTTTGTTTTACTCTCTATAGATATACATTTTATTTTCTAATAAAATTTCTGGAATAATTAATTTTTCTGTTGAAATCTGTATATATTTCCTTGTAACAATATTTATGATAGGACTAGGTAGAGAAGTTCTTAATCAGAAATTATATTATATGTACAAAATAATGTGAAGTATCTTTTCTTGTTTTTATTCTTGCAGGAAATATTTGTCTGCTTACAGAGACAAACATGATTAAAATTAAAACATAAATGACATAATTAAAAATATAAAATTAAGAATAGGGACAATATTTAGTCACATTAATTCATTAGAAATAATTAGATCAGAAAATATTAGATAAAGGAATCTTTAATTTAAGTACTTTAACATGTGAGATTCAGGCATTAAATAGAAGTTCCCAGGTTAATATACATTTTAACTTGTAACTAATAAGCAAACTACTCCTCAAAATATATAACATTAAGCCTCAACAAATAAACCTAAGAATTATCTAGTAATAAAGATAAACAAATTATCAAAAAATTAATTAGGATATGGACAATGAATACAAGATTATCAAGTGATACAGATGAATGAATGAAGTGGGAAACAGATGAAGAAAATGGGACACGTAACATTTATACCAAAATTGGTATCCAATAATCACACATGCTTTGTAAAGAACCAACTTGCAAATATTAAAAGGCTATGTAATATAATGGGCTAAGGCAATTAAATGAATTTTCAAATTTTATTCATCGGTGAGGATTAGATTATAACAATAAAAATGCAAATTCAGAAAATTTTCTGAGGTACCTTAGCAAAGATAATTATTGATAAAGAAAAGTGGCGGGAAAACTGTTTCCTGATTTAAAACTTTCACCGGAGAAGAATATTTTTAATCTTTGAATAAAAATATTGAGTTTAAAATATTGTGTTTTATTTTATTAAGTATTATAAATAAATAAAAATATAGAACTGGCACACAAGGTTAGTAATTTTGTGTCTCATACATTTTTCCATTGTCCCATTGTTATTCAAATTAAGATGACTTAACTAATTATTCAATGAATCTAATTTAATGAAATAAAAACCATTTTTGACAAATTATAAAAATTAAATACCATTAGCTTTTGAATATAAAGTTTGCTGTTTCGCGAAAATTCAAAGTAAAAAAATTAACAGAAAATATAGAACTACCTACTATCTTTTTAGAATAATTAGATTTTTTCAAGGAAATAAAAATACTGATTAGTTCTGAAGAGTAGGTGAACCTCTATTCTTCAAAAAAGGATTCTGCTTTAAAAAAGCAATTCCAAACATGGAAATTTTGAAATAGAGAAAGAACAATCGATAATCCCTTTAATACTTAAACCTGCTGTTCTTAGTATGCATATGGTTTGAACATACAGAACTTGGCTATCTGTGGCAATCTAATTGCTTTAATTGCACTATCACAGTAACACAGAGATCAATTTTCCACAAAAATTAAGATAGCAGATTGCTAGGACAAATTAAGTTTTGCATGCATGAGTCTTTAGCGACTGGTGGTTAAATATGTTTTTGAGCAAAATGTAAGCAGTAATTGAAACTTCTCCCTCAATTTTTTAATTTATTATATATTTATTTTAAGGTATCATGTTAAACAATTACATCTTGATAAAATATAAATTTTTATTCCTATTTACAATTGTTGATTATACAAAAAATAGCCTTCCTCCATCAGTTTTGAAATTTTGAACGTTGGGTTTTTGGGAAATTAGATGGAGAAAGACGTTTTTCCAAACAAATTAATCGAACATCACTCCGTCCTCAACCTATTTACTATAAACTACTAATTGTTAAATATTTTAAAGAAAAATAAAATAATGTGAGGACCAATTATTAACATAAATGTACTAAAAGAAAATTTATGAGACATTTATAATGAATTGATTATTGTTTCGATATGAATATTAAATTTGTAAACTGATTGCTTAGTAATAATTTAATTGTTCCTCTCCCATATTTTTCCCTGAAAATTATTTTCAAAATGGGAGGTTGACTTATATTCAATCTAACACAGTAATATGTATCTTGATTGACTCACTTTTAACTTCTTAAATTAAATCAAAAGTTGGCTGTGAAAACAAAATTTTATTATTCTAGAAAAGGTTCGTTAGAAGTAGTACTATATTCTATCATTTTCTAATGCTGCGGAAAAATAATGATATTTGGGAGGTAAAAATGTTTTGAAATAAATAAAAATGAAGAAAATCGTGACTAATAAAAACTAAAGCAATATTTTATCGAACTATTTATATCATTAAATATTATCTAATTATAGAATATTTATAGATAATAAGATAACATCCAGAAATTACTAATATATTATTAACAGATGTAACATGAGTTTTTATGTGGACAAAAGTTTTAATAATCTTTCATCTTTAATAATACGTATATTTATTTATCATTTAGCCACAACTAAATGTTTGCCTGAATCTTGATTTGGCCTTGGAGTATCAAGTTGAAATGGATTATTAGGTCAAAGGATGATTTTAAAGTCAAATAAATTATTACAATTTTTTTTTTTAAACAATTCTAACAGGCACTTACTTCATTAATAACCAGTAGCCAATGAAGAAAAAAATCAAAATGAACTTAAAAAACATTCTGTATAAATAGAACAAAAATACAATAAAGTAAACTTTCAATTTTACAAGGTGGTTATGATAAAATTATTTACTACTATAACATAGAAAAGAATGTTAATCATAAACATAAAATATAGAAAACAATGAAAGAAATGATTTAGATTTTATTAGCAAAAATAGAAAATTCATAACACATAAAACTAATTAGAAATAGCAGATTACTAATAACTACTCAAGCATTACTTGACCATTTATGAATAATGAATTAGATGATAGAATTTATGGAATAATTTAAAGTTATATATAACTATAACATTACTACAGAGCAATAATCTAATAAAGAGAATAAATACAGGGGGGTCCTCCATTTCTTACATTAATGCAGTACTTACATGGCGAATTACATATCTTGTTGCTCAAGACAGAAAAGCAAGGGTGATACAAAACAAGTCCGGAAAACGTCATCCAAATAGCTTTGTATAAGACCTTCATCAGAATGGTAGAAGAGGCCTAAAACATGTTGAAGACAAGAACAAGGATTATGGAGCAATTTTATGAAGAGCCAGCAAGCAATAAATAAAACAGTTGTAAAAGGGAAACAGATGACCATTTTAAACTGCATAGTATTGATCTAACAGAATCCAATCTTTAGGAGGACTTAAACAACAAAATGAAAACTGTTTCTAATGAAGAGGTCTATTAAAAGGATAACTTTCATAAAAAACTAATTTCATGAAAGTGATTCTGATGCGTTTTCTCCGTCAAAGAAATGGTTAGAACAGGTAGAAGACTTTTCACCTTTTTAAACACTCAACAATTGGCCATTCTAGGCCAATGACTAAAATTTGTTTCAAAGTGCCACAGACAAAATCTTAAAATGGACAACAAAACAATTGATAAGAAAAAATTATTTTACAGCAGAAGGTACATCATAATAGGGTAAGGTATTTAAAGAAACAAGTTTTTTTAAAGCATAAACTAATGCTCCAGCATTTTAAAACATTACATATCCAAAATTTCCCAGAGAATCAAAACTTGAAAAAAATAATATGGACAAAAAAGTACAGACAGAATAATAATTATAAAATCCTATTAAAAAAATAGAAAATGCCAGTACCACTGGCATCCTATTTAATTTTTATTGGTGAACACTCTTTCAGTACGATATTAGTTATCATAAATAGTTCTGAAAAAAAAGCAACAAAACCATTTATAGTAGTTTAAACATTTTAGCTTTAAACTATTTCAACACAAATAATGAATGAAGCAATAATACCGGAAATGAATAGAAATAAACTACTAAAAGATCCATATTACAATGCACAGAAATAGACAGTAAAAAGTGTCTACTAATTACGCCATTCTGATGGAAGAACCTTCAAAAATATATAAACAGGATGTTTAATTCCTTTTCTCTATTTTTATTTTAAAATTAGTAACCTAATCAAGACAATAAGTACCACATAAGAATCAACTAAATCAAGGGAGAGGTGATCTCTTAAAAAACACACTTTGAAGGGCCTGCGAACTAATAAAACATTGGCCCAAGCCTAAATAAACTCTAATTCTTTTAACCTTATAAAAATAAACCTGAAACTAATGGTTTGGAATGTTTCTCATAAGAAATAATTGAACGGATTTAAAAGCAAAACTATTATTATTAATTTAAAAATCAAACAAATGGAAATCTGAAATACTAATTAATTTTAAAACTGGAAAAATAATTCCTAGAATAGTTTTGAACCTTGAGGTAGCCACAAAAAAAGGAAGGAATGCATTTCATTGAAAGTTTAACATATTTGTTAACCAATTGAATAGCAAAGAAACCAATATACCATATTTATCTTTGTATTGCACATACTTCTTCAATACAAATTATTTGCCATCTCTTTGTCATGTACAATGAACATTTTTATTTGAAGAAATAAAAGTGAAACATTAATAAAGATAAATAATATATCCTTGTTTGTTTTTGTTTTAGATCAATTCAGATATGACTGATTAGTTTTAATCTGAAATTAATCATTGGGACTTCAATGACAAGTACCCAAGGCATGTATTTTATAAGCTTGAGCAATTTATCATTGTCAATATAATTTTATAATTATGTCAACTTCCAATTTTACTTTTTGAGCTCATTGTGGAAATTTTCAAAAGGTATCAGATGGATTTCACATCTCATTTCTACACTTCAGCACATTGTCGGCTTGCTTAAGATTTGCACAGAAATATGTAGCTTCAGACAGAATCATTGGCTTCACATAATCTTTTCTAATTAACCCAGATGTACACTTTATACCTTAATCGCCAAGATCATGTATAAAAAAGTTTGTTTTTAATTATTCTTTTCTTGTGATAAATTACTTTTTAAGAACACCGTTTCATATTGTAGGTGAGGAGGTATGAATTCATAACTTTAGGAAATCAATCCATATTCCTGAACTGAAATCTCAAACAAACATCTATTTTAGATGATGAGAATGGTTTATCTAAAGTTGATAAAGCCAACAAAAGATTAAGTCACTACCAAACAACAGAAAATACCTAATCTCATAGAAAGCATGTCAAGATAATTCCATGTAATGACAGAGGTAACTGTAGTAATACCACCTAAGTAAAAAAAGAGATTATTACAAATTTCATGGGTGAAAACAGTAAATTAATATTTTTAAACTTTGCATTTCTCTTACCATCTGATTTTATTTACAAAATACTCATAAATAAACAATAGGTTACAGGATTACATCATCTTGTCATATGAGTATTCATTTGTAAGTATTTTAAGTAATAATGGAGAGAACAAAAAAACAAAACAAAATGTTAGTCAACTCAGTGGTGCATAAATTCAACTCCCAGGCTGCCAACTAACTGTGATCAAGCTGTAGCTCAATTTCTAGGTTTACATTAAGAATTCAAATTATAACTATTAAAAAAAATGTGATACAACTAGTGTAATGGTAGTGTCTTTTATTATTAACCAATCCTGATTGAAATTACACAAAACAAGGCTATGTAAATCAGAGCAGGAAGCAGAGAGTCTACAACAAAATAAATCTTTAAAACTGTATTAAGGTATTATAATGAATTATAAATGGCAGAATACACAATAATCTTTATGTCACCTATAACCTAAAGGAACATATTTTGTCATCCTAGTCTTTTAACAAAGAAACTTCTTTTTTTTTCTCTTCCTTCCTCCTTTATGCCTCTCAGTGTGAAGGTGTATCCAGCCATCGCAACCAAGCATCCCAATCTCTCACGAATGCCCTCATCTCTTCTATCGACATCCCTCTTAATCGTCGTAGCCTGGAAATGTGGTCTTCGTTAGACAGTCGAGGTCTATCCTTATTTCTTTTACGTGTTGGTCAGGCTTCATAAACACTTATGGGTTCTCTATATTCTCCCATTCTGCAGACATGGCCATACCGCTCAAGCTGCCTTGTCTAGAATATTTGTTACAGTGGCTGGAAGTCTAAATCTTCTCTTTCTCCTACCACTCTCCGGACATAACTCATTTCAGCTGTGGTTATTCTATTTTTATGTTTGTCAAGAGTTACCCAGCTTTCACTACTGTAGAGCAAAATTGAAAGGTACATTGCTTTCTATATCCTTAATTTAACACCACTCATACCTATGATGAAATTACATATTTGGAAGTACATATTATTAGCTTCTCAAATTCTGTTATTGACTTCGTCATCAACTTTCTCATTCCTGCTTATGACACTCAGGTATTTATAGTCTTCGGTTTGTTCAAGGGACTGGCCATTACATATTATATCGATTGTCTGAGGCTCCCTTCCCTGGTGCAATTAGTAATACTTTATTAGCAATTAGAAAAAAGTGATAAAACTAGTATAATGTCAGTGTAAATCAGAGCAGGTAGGAGAGTGTCTACAAAAAAAAAACCTCTAAAACTGCATTAAGGCATAATGATGAATTATAAAAGGCAGAATACACCAACCATCTTTAAGTCACCTATAACCTAAAGAAACATATTTTTCTTCCTTGTCTTTTAACACAGAAACAACATATCATATTGATAGCATGGCAGGGTAAAATAAATATATATATTATAAAAACTTTACCTGTTTTTAGGTCTTTCATAAACATCCATTTCAGCTAATGGTATATTCACTCGTCCTAAAAACTCATCCATACCTATAAGATTATGATGCAAGGCAGTTAGCACTATTTCTGCCTTGTTTCCTTGTTTAGGAATTAGCCTGAGAGAAAAAATAATGAACTATTACCTTAAAATTATAAATATAAAGACACTAATGAAAATTAATTCCTTTTTTTAGTTTAAACCTATATGATGATTTTTCAATCACGATTATTTGATAGACTAAATCAAATTAACTTATTAAATTGCTAATCTTTAAAAATGAAGAAGTTAAAACAACAAAGATTTTGGTTTAATTATTAAAAATAAAGGAAATGTGAAAAAACATTAATACTTCAGAACATTACACAAGTTCATAAAGAATAAATTTATATGTCATAAAACAGAAAATAAATTTAAAAAAAGGCTTACTGCTCGAGATAGAGGCTTGGTATGATGACTAAATAAATTATGAAAATACATTCACAGCGTATTTTAATTATAAATTTTTTTATATTTAGAAATACTATTAGGTTAATCAGAGGATGAGAAATAATCAGGATATGCAGTAATATGATATAAATAAAAAGAAATGTAGGTCAATTATACCCATCGAATCGGGATTCGTTATTTCTTCATGAAATTCGGTTTCTTTCGATACCTCGTTTATTAAAATCCTTCATGGCTAAAACGGAAAAGAGTCCTATACTGTATATACTAGACTCTTAACAAGTATATACAGTATAAACAAGAATAACTCAGTAGAATAGACACCCATAAAGTTGAAATATTTAAAATCACAAATATTTCCATAACCAAGTTTCAGCCACCACTACCAGTTTCGAGCAGAGTAAATGACCTATATCAAAATCAGGTAGTCATTAGACCTGATGGTAGTCAGTGGACCCGGAATTTGATGCTCTACAACTTTTTCCTCTTAAAAAACTTATTTCCAAGTTGCAGGGCCATTTATAGTAATTTATCTCAGTTTTTGTCGAATTTGGTAAAACTAAGTATTCGTTAACCGCGGTTATTGACCATACCACATAACCAAACTAATGAGCAGGGTTTGAAATTGATAATAATTTTTTCCACAAAATCATATAAGGTAAAGTAAGAGGGTTAAGTACAACTAGGTTTATTTTTTTTTTTTCATTTTTAAACTGCTACGGTGAGGTAATTATTAGGAATATGGAAATATAACTCAGCACACAGTATTTAGGTTTACCTGGCTATAATATCTTGCAATTAGAATATTTTCAATAAATTTTTATGTCCACTGGTGGCATATAACCCATACATCTGGGGTAAGTGCAACCTCACTCTAGGATTCTCCTAGGCAATAAAAATGACAGTGGAGCAAGTGTGTCATAGCTTGTTTTTCACTGATTCTGCAGTAATTTTTTTTAATTTTTTCATCTTAAACCGTTTGGGAGATAAGAACTTTTTCGCGAGTCAACGCCAGGTTGATCGCAAAAATGGATGAAATCTAAAAATCATTAATTTTTTTATTTCTTGATTATATTTACCTGTTTCAAGAGATTTACTATGGGGCAAGTACCCCAGTCTCCATGGCTGCACTTGCACCATGTGCAAAAATGATGAGGCAAGTGTAGCCATGGCTATCTTTTTAAAATTATTAATCCATTACCAAAATAAGGTAAATATCTGAAAATTATACATTAAACTTTGGTAAAAATACAAAGTTTGGTTATCCTGGGTTGAAAGTCAAAATTACAAAAAAAAAAAAAAAAAAAAATGTCCCACTTTACCCCAATAATTATATTTGATTTTTAATTAAAAAATCATGCCGGAATAGTTAAGACTAATAAACCATATAAAGACTGCATATTATTATTTGTCATCCACATAATTTTAACAGTCAATTATATAACCATCTCTAAATTATCAGATAAATCTACTCACAATTCACATTTTTCATGCCATTCAAGAACACCAGTAGCTTTCTCTTTTATAGAAGTTTGAAATGTTTCTTTTCCCAAACCAATTGTTACAAAGGCATCATTAGTTCCTGAAATATCGATAAAAGAGTAAAATTTTCATTACCAAGATTATATATATATATATATATATATATATATATATATATATATATATATATATATATATTCAAACTTCACTATTTTATTGGGAATAAGGTCACTTAATAAGGACCTTATTCCCAATAAAATAGTGAAGTTTGAATTTAATAATCAAAGGTCGATGAAGGAAAAGTTGTAAATATATATATATATATATATATATATATATATATATGTATGTGTGTACATAAATATATATATGTATATATATCATAGAATGAAACTAAAACAAGAAAGCAATAACAATACAAAAGATCGAAGTTATTATCAGGCTAAAAATTATATTGGATTAAATAATTTTACACCATTTTACTGAATAAAACCTAAGAAGTTTAAATCACAAGCCGATTCCGAACCTTCAGCTTACCTCTAGAGACATGTGGACCGTGGTAAGAATATCTTTTTCGAACAATTAATCTGATAAAAAATAAAATTAAATAGATATTTACATCTATACCTAAGTATCTTGGCCAAAAATATTAAGCACCCACATATTTTATTAAAACAAAGTAAAGAGGGATAAAAATAACATCTTCTTCCATCAAATATCTTTATTTAAACATAAGAAAAAAGTCAAATTAATATTCTGTGATCAAGCCTTAGGCTTTTATGAACTCCCTTATCCTTTTTGGTATAGACTTAACAAGTCTTGAAAATCTTCTTTGTCAATTTTTTTCCACTCTTCTTTTAAAAAGGGAATATGTTATCTTTCTTAGCTGGGTTATGTTTAATAACATTAATTTTTAATTTAGACCATATGTTATCAATCGAAATGAGGACTAAGGACTGAAGGGCCTTAATATTGTATTTTTTCAAACCATTTTTTACTTTTGCATAAATTGTGGCATGGTGCATTATTATTTTGAGAAATAATTGTTTCTCTGTCATCTGTACAAATATTTTTTTCAAATGAAGGCATTTGATTCAGTTTGATTTAGCATTGATATGTTGGTATCGCTATTTATCCTCCCTTTGCATAAAAACATTGCTCCAACACCCGAAGATGCCCCAAATCATTATATTTCCCCCTCCATGTTTTACAGTAAGGATAACACAATCTGGGTGATAGGCTTTGTCTTTCCTCCTTTGTACAAAAACGGCACCAAAAATCTGTACAAAATATGACATTTTAAAAATAACTGTTTGTGTCTATCATGTTTATTTTAGGTAGTTTTTGCAATTTTCAATTTCAATATACTATAATTTAATTACTTCAAAGTTACTTTGATCAGACCAAACCACATTTGCTCAGTCTTGAGCACTCCAGTTTTTGTGAAATTTTGCCCAGTTAAGCCTCTTCTTTCGATTGGCTTAACTAGGCCATGGTTTCTTCCTGGCCTTACAGCCTTTCAGACCCTTCTCTACCAGTCTTCTTCTTACTATCCAGGCAGAAAAATCAACAGAAAACAAGGTTTTCATCTCTTAAGCCAACTGTTGTGACATTTTCCTGCGATTCTGAAGAGATATTCTTACTAAAAACTTTTCCTCACGTACTCCTGTTATTATCTTTCTTCCTGTTCCTGTGGAACATGTGCTAATGTCTAATGTCGAATAAGCATATATTGAACAGCACAACAAGAGCACTTCAGAGTCTTAGCTATCTTGGATTGGGTATACCCTTCTAACGACATAAAAACTATCTTTGCCTGTTCAGTCTCAGTCAATTATGGTACCTTTACAATATTTAATTTTTAAAAATAGGAAATATAATTTTTTTATAATAAAAACTATTAAAATAAAAACGAAATATTCACTGTTATCATAAAGAGAGCTAACACTGTACTGAGAACCTTTTTTTAGATTCCATTTTTTTTCTAAAGTATTATCTAGGAGGAGGGGGTGATTATAATCCAAATAAGGGATCCATTTTTATCAACACAAGAAGTTTTGGAAGCAGCAGTGAATATAGATTTTTTTATTAAAATTAAATAGACAATTTTGACTGGTGCCTAATACTTTTGACCAAGGTTGTAAGGAAACTTGATTTAAACATTTAATGTTATGCTATTAAAATCAAAATTTACTCTTTAAAGTGTTATATATGCAATAAAAACAAAAAATATACAATTTAGCCAGAAAATGCCAAAACCTACAATATAAAATTTAAATATGTAATTCTACAGATCGTGAATCGGATAGATATTCCGAATATATTAGATATATATTTGGAGTTTTTACATATATAAAATGTATGTATGCAAATAAAATGTACAATAATATGGAAATCTGGTCTCTATTGATTTAATGGCAAGCTTTAGTTAGTAAATTGGTTAAACTAATAATCTATGATACAATAATTATGAACTCAGACTGAAGCAAAAAAAATGCGCTTCATTCTATAATATTCAAAATACAAAATTTGCACTACGATGTGAGGCGACATTAGGCTAACTAAAATATATTGAAAATCAAGAATGGAGAGAAAGTAAAAATAAGGGAGCATTAAGTATCAACACAAGTAAAGACATTTTATTTGTTAAATAGTTAAATTTGAATAAATGTATTTTATTAGCTTTTTTAACTAAATGTTTATAAGGTAGAGCCGAGAGGTATTTGACAACATTGTGTTTGGCTGTCATATAGGTTCTACTAGAGTAAACTCAGGCCACACCTCCAGTCCCCACACCACTGCGATGCACTGTTATTATAAGATTTTAGCTAAATAAGAAATTTTTTTAATTGCAATATATGGTGGTAGGCATAGAAGCCCCTTATACTACACTATTCCCTTATAGCCCCTAAAAGGCTGAGGTCAGCGTCCATCTCTTAAACTTCCCTTCTACAATATAGGGCCCTTCATCATTCCCAAAAGTCCCCTGTACATTCACTACAACTTATATTTAACTGATAGAAAATGTAATTATTATTTTTGCTATTATTATACTTTTAAAATAATTATTTTTGTCATTATTATACTTCTACCTAAATAAAATCTAGTGAAATTAAACTTCTTGGTTCTAACTATTTTCTGAATATTTAAAAGGTAGGTTAAAAGCTAAAAAAAAAATAATAATAAAATTTAAAAAAAAATTATTGTGAACTTTCTTTTTCCCACTCCACTCCATATAATTAGTTTGATATTAGCCAAACAATGATACATAACAAATAAGAAAATGTAAGAAAGTGTGACATTAGCTGCTTCTTTTTTTCTTAAATATTGGTGGAAAAACGTGTTAAAACATCCAGTAAGTAAAGGAGGTAACTGGACTTTTCAAATACATAATAAAGTTATTATTATTATCATTTTTTTATATTCTTGTTATTATAGATGAGTGATATAAAGAGAAAACGATTTTCTGGAAGAGAGTTATAGTTCCTCACATCCCTAGTTCTCAAAAAAACATAAATTATTCAAAATAAAGACACAAATACAGTTTTTTTTTTTTTTTTACAATTTAAGTCAACATAAAAAACACTTATTAACAATATGGTCATATCATTCTCTATAAATAAAATGAAAGTTGAGAAATATCAAATTCAAAGATACAGTCATTTTTTAACTAGAAATTGATCCTATATGACTTTTCAAGTAAAAATTTTATAGGACTTGAAAAAAAAAATTATTTAAAAGCTTTATTGAAGCAATTGATTTCATTTAAACACCTGCCAAAAAAATGGCGATTGAGCATAACATTCTACTCTAACAAAGGAAATAAAAGAATCAGGTAATTTAATTTGGATCAATTATATCTGTAATACAAACTTTTATTCTAAAATGCTTCAACGAAGCTATTATAAAAGTTCTAACCCTTAGTATTAACTATTTGGTGCTTAGAAATACTTTTTAAAACATTGATGTAAAATAGTTCATTGTAGAAAATGGAGCCACAAAGAAGGGCTGAAAAGTTGTTAATTGAAATAAATAAAGAATCTGAAGTGCAAAACTTTACAAATTGGTGTAAATTAAAACAATAGTAAACACAGTATTTTAGAAGTGCAATAACAACGAAAATTGCACTTCCTATATGTTAAACATTATTAATTAGCCTGTTCTTAGAAGTATGTTTTAACTTGTAGGCTTCTCCTAATTAAGAGGGTAATGGTCTTACTACCAACAGGGTTAAATATAAGTTTTGTTAAATGACTAGATATACTAGAGACTAACTATTTTTATCAGAAAAAAGTAAGATGTAATTCCTTACTAAGACATTTATATTAATCTAAACCTGCCTTTATAGAACTTCTAGAAAGTTATCAATATCTAAAAGCTTTACTTTTTTATTGACACCACTTTAAATGGTTCAATAATAAGTAGTTCTTGGATTTAACTGGATCATTGTCAGTTACAAGGAAAAAATGAATTGAAAATATTTGACAAATTTAATTAAATTACATGATAAATGAATATTGTAATAATACAATCTGCTACCATCAAAGGAACAAATTCTATATATTCAAAACAAAGCATGATAAGGTCTGACAAAGCTAATTGACTTACATAGGATTTCAGCCTTTCTAATTTAGTTATCATATAAATAGTACATATGGAACACCAATAAATAAAAATATATGAGTACACTGATAAGGATATTGTAGCAAACTTGATACTTCCCAAGAGTTTTCTTGTTTTACAGAACTGACAATCTTTCTAAAACTTGTGAAATGAGGGAATGTGTTTCCTAGGCACAGAATATTTATTGAGTCACCCATAGGTAATAATAAAACAAGTTATAATAATAGCAAAAATAACAATAATTACATTTTCTATCAGTTAAATATAATTTGTAGTGAGTATAATGGGGAATTTCGGAAATGATGAAGAGCCCTCTATCTTCCCTATAGTAGAAGGAAAATTAATGGGGTGTACCCTGACCTCAGTCTTTTAGGGACGATAAAGGAATAGTGGAGTAAAAGGGACGTTTACGCATACCACTGATAGTGTGCAAAGTGGCATCTCAATCTTATATAAGTCCTTCATTACTTCTATTTCAGCTGAAATTTACTCAATTTTTTCCTATGCAAGTATTCAATTGTCTTAAATGCCTAATGCCGATATCATTGTGACTGCTCTGGTCTCCAGTGAAAATTGTGATGGGGATCCAGGAACATAGTAGTTTGTTTTTGTTAAACACAGTTATTGTTATAATGTTTGGGAATTTAGATATATTGGTATTTATTAAGTTTAGTAAAAAAGTGGAATGTATTTTCAATCATTAGAGAAGTAATGCCACCTTTTTTTTACAACAGGATATAGTTATAAATCATTGAACCAGATATCAATAGATATTCGAACGAAACATGATTAGAAAGCATATTTTGAGACAGTCTTAGACCAAGTGTTTTATCTATTATAAGAGAGAAAAAACGACAATGATTTCACACTCAGTCAAATAATGAAAATTCTACAGAATAATATAACAAAAATAAATATAATAATAATTAAAGCAAGGAGGTAGTGAAAAGATCAGCAGCTAGCCATCACTGATTAGCAGAAGCAGAGCAGTCATAAACAAATACTTTTCCCTATTGCTACACTGTCCCATGGAGCAGAAGTTGCTGAGTCAAGAACAGAAGCTTAGTAAGAATATTTGGAGGATCCACAGTGGTCTACAGTGAAAGCACCACTATGTCACTCAACATATTAAATTAATATTCCTTGATAATTGGACATGCAATAGCTTGTCAAATAGTATTGTTTATTGACAAAACTTTCCAAGAAATAAGTTTACAAATAATCCATTATAAATAAATTTATGATTTCATTCGACTCAATTCAAATTATTTCGGGAATTGACTTTTCAATTATAAGTGATGTTCTGATTTAAGTTGCTTGATCAGAGTTGACCTGTCATAAAATAAAAAATAAATAACAATAATTCACAAAAAAAAATTAAAATAAAAGACATAAATAAGGAGATAAATTTAAAATAAAATTGGGTTAAAACCACATATACTGTCCACCAAAAATAGATCAGAAAGACCAGAGCAATAAACAGCAAAGAATTTCTTACCATTTTTCCCTTTACTGATCAGTCCTCTAGCTTTATGCACTAAAACAAAAGACATAGATAAGATTCAAACACTCAATAAATTAAACATCACATATAAAAATATATTTGCCTACCAGTAACTTGTACATGTGTTGGGCTCCACATATTTGAATTAATTTAACTAAACAATAATTAAACGAAACAAACCAAATTAAAAACTCATAACGAAATGACAACAAAGTAGCAGGTTACATTTAGTAACAGCGAAACGATAGAAAGAAAATTACAAAGAAGTTGAAAATCAGATCTACATTCTAGTTGACAAAATGGAAAAATAATCTCATAATGTTCATCCAAAGGGTGCAATTTTATAATTATCAATGATTGCATTCAAATTTATTATTTATTACTCCCGTGACCAAGAAACAGCTAACTCTTGTGGATTTTGTTGTAGTTATAGAGACAATACACTGCCTCAAAAAAGTTTCCGCACAGATAGTTATTCTTTAACATTGCTAAAAATCTATTTATTATGTTATTTTTATTAATCAGGAAGGATAGCAAAGGCAAAGGTGTATCAACATGATAACAAGTTCATGCTGGATCACTAATCCCATAGCAGGAAGAGACACAACTTTAATCTGAATGCCAACAAAGTTTGCATGCATCTATGACATATTATTTATTTTTATTGAGAAAAAAAAAATACATTTTGCCTCAATTAAGGGCATTGAATATTTAGGTATGACATATTAATTATATTTCTGTTCAATTCCATTATTTCGCTCAAATTTACTATCTGGACACTACATTCAAGGTTTAGTTAAGGTCCAGCATACTTCAAATCATCATTATGCTAATTTAATCTCATTCTACCAATAGCTTTGAGATCTTCAATTCAAACACCATGATTTTTCAAGCGCCGTCTTAATTTTTCCCACAAATGTTCTGTTGGGTTCATGTATGGAGATTAGTGTGTAACTGTTTTGGAATATTGTCGACTAACCATTGTTTTACTTTCTTGTCAGTGTTCTTAGGATCGTTGTCCTGTTGATAAATAAACACCGGCATAAGTACACCTTTTTTTTGCAGAACTTTTTAAATTGTTTCTTAGAGTGTTTAGGAATAAACTCTGGTCCATAATTCTATCAATAAAAACGAGATTGCCTACTCCTAAAGCACCCGTATAACCCAAGGTCAATAAAACTACCAGGTTCGCTCACTCAGAAATGCGTGGTGGGGGAACTTGAAACGTGACGTAAGGAATAGACTGTCAGACCAATCTATTACTCTTTCAAGTCTATCAATGAAGGCTTACTTCAACATTATTGTGCTTTTTTTTTTTTTTCTTGTTTAATTTATTGAGAAGAATACTTTTCTGTATTTTTGACGTTTGATTGAAGATAATTTCAAGTAGATAAATGAATAAATACGCCTATCAATCTAGAATAAAATGCTATGAAAATTACAGGCCAGGCCTGGAATGAAAAGAACGAAATTGATATTAAGATTATTTATAAATTATTTTTTTCAAAATCTCTGTAAATAATATATAAATATATTACATAAATAGAAAAAAATAAGATTTATATTTATTTAGAGAACATTTTGCACAATTTTTGTGTAATTTTGTTTGTAGATCTCGTGGCTATTTCTTTTAATATTATAACGATATTATAATAATATTATAAGGGCGAAGATCTTTGTCAGGATATGTAGTCAAAATTTCGTAAAATAAATAAATTTAATTAAAAAAATAAACAAATTTTCCTGCAAATCCTGATAATTTATTTTCACCTTATAATCTTAAATCTTAACAGTCAACTACTCATCCGTCTCTAAAATAATATTATAACGAGTATTTATTTTTAATTTTTAATAACATGTTACAGAGAATTCGTTTGTCCTTATTAGTGTTTCTTGTATTTCTCATAATAACATAATTATTAATAGAATCCTATAGAATGCCACGTACAAAATGCGCAATTGTATCTAGCAACAATAATCTGATTGACACAAAGAAGATGGAAAAGAAAATTTCATTTCATACTTTTCCAAAGGACGCTCGAAAAAAATATTAGATTTTAAAATGTAAATGTAAAAATATTGTAAAAAAACAAATATTATAAAAAAAATTACTATCTTTTTCTTAGGTAACAAAATGTAAAAATTAATGAAGAAAGCCTTTCTTTCAACAAAGGGTATTTAATAGAATCAAATTTTTAAATACCCAATGATTTTTACAACAATTAAGAAAACATAAAATCAAAGCCAAAAAACTTGAGAAAAATCACTACATAGGATTACTTATGACGTAAAAATGTAATATTTACAAATATTCACGGAAAGAAAACGTATCTTTAATGTTAGATTAAATACTTTTTTTTTTTTTTTCAATATTTCTTTTATTTTACATTATGCTTTGTATTTATTTGAAATATTTAAAAAGTAGTATTGTGGTACTTTGCAAAAAATCATACATCAACTTTTTAAATTACATTTTATTTGCTTTAGAATAAACCAAATATCAAATCAACCTTTCTCTCACCTTTCAAATTTATTAAAATTAATAAGTTATTTGGCAATACAGTATTGATTCAATGTAAAAAAGTAAGTAATAATCTTAAAATGTCCAGAAACAAAGGCCGGATGAGTAAATTCAGTCTTTTGGCTACGTCAGAGCTCAATTCCTCCCCACCATTTTCCCTCTGAGTGAGCTAACCTGGTAGTTTTATTGACCTTGTGTATACCCCCATACCATTACACTTTCACCTCCAGGCTTGAAGGTCAATCAAAAATTCTTTGAAATAAGAGCTTCTTTGTCTTTTCACCAGACATGACACTTGTCATCTGGTACAAAAAGGTCGAATTTGGATTCATCTGAGAAAATCCCAGAAACGTTTCCGGATTTACGCATACCCCTTAATCTCTTTCAAGCCACAGGTTAAGGATATTGTATTATACAGGGATTAGACGCGCTTGGTTCAGAATGGTCCTGCAATGAATTCTATTCAATTTTCTTGGGTATGCTGAACGAAGCCTGTCATCCAACGATTCACTGTGTCTACTGCACGATTCCATGCGATTTATTTAGTAAAGTTCCTATTTTTCAGAGAGAAAATCCTTGACTTCTCAACCACACGCTTTGGTCACGAATGCATAGCTTTAAACGCATAATGATGATTTGAAGTAGGCTCAATCTTAACTAAACATTGAATGTTGTGTTCAGATAATAAATATGAGCGAAATAATGGCATTGGATAGAAATAAAATTATGATATTATAGATGTATGGAAACTTTTTTGATATTCAGATTTAAGTTGTATATCTTCCTGCAATGGGACTAGTGATCCAGCTTGAACTCGTTATCTTTGCCTCTACTACCCTTCTTGATTAGTAAAAATAATATAAAAAATAGATTAATAACAATTTTAAAGAAAAACTAGCTGTGTGGAAACTTTTTTGAGGAAATGTACATCTTAAAACATACTGCATTCAGGCCTCATTAAGGAAAAATATTAATGCAATCGTCATCACGAATTCCACATCCAAGTGGAAGCATATCAGTGACAGCCTCGATAGCAACTGACAGAGTAACAAATGGTGTTTTGATCTTAAGAAATAGGAGAAGAAGAAAAGTAAATTTTATTCTGGGTCATTCAGCTCCCTACGAATAATTATAATGAACAATTTAGTGACATTTGTCTGGCATACAACAAGTTAACCATCTTCTTGTTGTTAATTAAATTACACTGCTATTAAGTCTTTAAATTCAGATAATGAAAGGCACAAGTTAACATTTGAGTTATAGGTAGATGTATAAGAGTGTTTACATATAAATAATGTACATATCTATAAGATGATATTAAAATTAAGTGACAGTTATACGAAAAATAAAAATATTACTCTTACATGTATTTGGAAGATTGATTGATAAGGAGATGAAAAAATAAATAAGGATAAGTTTAACAAATGGACAGAGGAGCAGGAGTAAACAGGATAAGAAGGTAAGAAGTTTTGTTTGTTGCAAAAGTCGTAAAAGGAAAACACCTGGATAGAGCCACATCAGCTCGGCGTACCAATTGGAAACATGGTAGCGCCTGGGGGCTGCAAAGACGAATCTGATGAAACAATTCATTAATCTCTTCGATCTGAACTGAAGCCCACCAAAAAAAAAAAAAAAAAAAAAAATCGATGTAAGGAAAAATGAGAGAGGAAACTAGGAGCTGATAGGATTTTAGGGGTAAAGAATCACGGAATCTTAGGAACTATTTTAAGGTAGCAATAGATTTCCGGATAATTTGGGAAATATTATTGTTCCAGGAGAGGTACTAATTGATAATTACTCCAAGATTTCTAACGGAATTATGAAAATGAATAGATAGTCCATTGAGGTAGAGTAGGGCATAATAAGGGAAGGAACTGATAAGATACTTGGAACCAATGAAAATTGCTTTAGTCCTCTCAATGTTCAACTTTAAATCATTGCTCGCTGCCAAAGTGGTAATCCTATCTATATCTTCGGTAGGATGAAAAGAAAGGTAAGTCTGAATGTCGTCAGCATAAAGGTGGTATTGTGAATGATGGATGGAATCAGGAAGGTCGTTGAAGTAGATGGAAAAAAGTAGTTGGAGAGAGCGAAGATCTTTACAGGACATCACGAGCTAAGAAGAGGGGGACAAAGAAGTTTTATTGGGAATGATGAATGTCTGGGATCTGTGATACAAGAAGGAATGGAACGACTTTAGAACACTATTGGATATGGAGAAGTTTTGGAGTTTGGAAAGAAGGATTTTATGATTAACGGAATCAAAGACTTTTGAAAAATCAAAGAAGACTAGGTAGAGATTTTCTGTTTGTCTATGGAGAATTGATGGTCTTTGGTGATTTTAAATAAAGCAGATTGGGTGGAGAACTGGGATCGGAATCAAGATAGTTCGGGAGCCCGTGGCAAAAAAGGTGTATTATTTCATACTAATGTTTAACCATATTAATTGCCCTTGTCTAAGGCCTGAAAATAAAAATGCACCTCTTCCATCATATAGCCGATGGAATTAAAAATGGTGGCCAGATGAAGACGACTTTGAAACCCAAATATAGAATCCCAAAATCTTCCTTCTATTCTAATTCTCCCAACATTCTACTGTCTAACGAGGACTCCGATTTGTTGATCATATTTCCTCAGCCCTATAAAACGAGTAATACTGTTCGAGTGCATTTCTGGATATAGCACAGGCATTTGAC